GAGCGGGAGTGAGGGACCGTCCGCCGAATTGCCGCCGAATAGCTGGACGTGCTGCCCCTCTCCGGAGCGGCCGCCCCAAGCACCTGCTTGCCAGGCTGGTGCCTGGAGCCGGCCCTGGCCCCACCATATGCTCCATTATTTTATTAGTGAAGTTAGATGACACAGCCCGTATGCTGCTTCGGAGTGCTCTGCTCCAAGGACAGCAGTATATGCAGCCACCTGCTCTGGGGGCTAGGAGACCAGATCCCAGGGATCCTGCAAAAGCCAGAGAATTTCAAAGGTGGCCTTATGGATTCATGCCTTGAAGACTAAAGCACAAGTGTAAACTGGGAACTAGGAAACATCCACTGCTCCGCTTTGACCTAAGCAGGCAACTGTAAAATGACCTTCTGCTTAGCAAGAGGGTGTTTACCACCCTGTAGCTTCCCCTGGAGGGAGAAGGCAATCTGAGACCACTTCATCCCCCTGCAGCCTGCAGCCCCCTTGTCCGGTGAAGCAGAGAGAGGCCAGGTTTCAAGGCATATTTTGAAAGGGGAACAGAGCTGTTTACTCCTTCCCCAGTGCTGCCTCTGATATGTTAAATCAGGTCCCTGAATTCTGCCCTGGGATGGGAGTGCTGTGGTCTGCCCATTTCAGCTGAATTGCTTCCATTTTATGCTCTGCAAATTGTGCATAGAAACAACGAAGACTGGGATTCTGTTTCCTGCTGGTAAACCTTGTATAAAAATCTGAATCCTTCAGTAGTCTGCCTGGTTTAGCCTTGGCCCTCTGTCAGGATTTCTTCCGCAGTGGAGCTGTGGACAGAGCTGTGGCCTCTGGACACTACTTATAATATAAAAACTAACTAATACCTTGTTTGAGGTCCTATAGTTCCTATAAGACAATTAGCCCTGGATGAACCCTCATATGGCAGGGCAAATGGGCCCTGATGCTCAGCACAAGTAGAGCTGGTCCACATTTTCCAAATTTCGATTTTTCAATGACATTTTTCAACAAATTCAGAACTTTCACCAAAAATGGGATGATTTTTTTCTCACACACACAAAATCCACATCAAAGATCGTCCTGTTTTTCAGTCTGTCGGAACTGGTCAAAATAATCTGAATTCTGAAATGTGGATAACAATTTTCATTCAAAGTTCAGATTTTGATGGCAAAAAAATGGCAGGGTTTTTTTGGCGAAAATATTCCTGAACATTTGTTCCCATGTTTTGACCCACTCTAGCACCAACACAGAACAGAGCTTTATTAGCAGTAACCCAGCATCACAGAGAATGAATGCTGCCTCGGGGTTCATAGATTTGAAGGTCAGAAGGGGCCATCATGTTTATTTAGTCCAGTGGTTCTCAA